TCTCAAGATATAAAGCCAGACTGTGCGCGAAAGGATACGCGCAGCAGAAAGGAACTGACTATTTTGAAACCTACTCTCCGACAATAAGATACGACAGCATTCGCATACTTCTTTCTACAGCGGTACAGTTAAGTCTTCAAATAAAGCAATTTGACGTGAGAACAGCCTTCTTATACGGAAAATTGGAAGAAGAAGTGTACATGGATCCACCAGAAGGCATCGAGGTAAGCAACCATCTAGTTTGCAAGCTGAACAAGTCGCTCTACGGCCTCAAACAGGCATCTAGGTGTTGGTACACCCGATTCGACAACTTTCTGAGAAAAATTGGACTGGAAAAGTGTGACGCTGATAAATGTGTCTATAAAGGTAAATTCAACAAAAAGGAGGTTTACCTTGCCCTCTACATAGATGACGGCTTAATCTTTGCCAAGTCAGAGGAAACTGTGAATCAATTGATCGACAAGCTTGTTCAGGAATTCGAAATAAATGTTTGCGAGTTGAATTTCTTCGTCGGAACGGAGGTGCTCAAGAACCCGAGAAACGGATCCATATTCATTCATCAACAGCGCTATATCGAGCAGATCATCAACAAGTTTGGGATGACGCAATCGAAACCTGTCAGTGTACCAGCGGACCCGAATGTGAAACTGGAGCCGTCCGAAACGGAAGAAAGTGATGGGAGAAATATCCCCTACCGTGAGGCCATCGGATGCCTTATGTTTGCAGCGATAGTAAGTCGTCCGGATATTGCATTTGCAGTATCTTACCTGAGTCGGTTCACTAACAACCACAACGACAGTCACTGGAATGCGATCAAAAGAGTCATTAAATATCTCAAAAACACTACTGACTATGGAATTGAATACAGCAAGGTTAGCAGTATACTAGAGATGCAAGGCTATTGCGACTCGGATTACGCAAATGACATCGAGACCAGGAGATCAACCTCCGGTTACGTATTCGAAATAGGTAATGGTGCTGTGACATGGAGCAGCAGAAGACAGAAATGTGTTTCCTTGTCAACAACAGAAGCCGAATATGTGGCAGCATGCGAAGCATGCAAAGAAGCAGTATGGATACGAAATCTGCTTCAAGATCTGGACTCAAGAGTATGCAGTAATCCAACCATTTTAAGAATCGATAATCAAGGAGCCATAAAGCTAGCCATTAATCAAGATTATCACAAAAGGACAAAGCACATCGACATTCGTCATCACTACATTAGGGAGAAACTCGAAGACAATGTCATAACTGTGGAGTACATTAGTACTGAAGACGAAAAGGCAGACATATTAACCAAGGCATTACCACGCGAACAATTCCAGAAATTAAGGAAAGCCATTGGCATGAAGAGCGCTCATGCTTTTAAGAATGAGTGACACCTTGTCTGAAGCCTGGACAATATCTTTTTATTTTTACATTTGCAAGTTTTTTTTTTAGTTTGTTTCAGATGCGAGCAAGCAATCGTTTGATGGGAGTGTTGAGATAATAAACGTTTCCTTGCTCGACATAACGTGGAGTTACCGACGCAGTACCCTGAGTCAGTCACGAGGGAGCGCAACGAACGTTGCCAAAAAAACACAGAGACCAGTAGAGTTTACAATCTTTTTTTTTACACGGTGGTGTGATATTCAACTCGTCGACGCCACTTTTGTATAAGTTTCCTGACATTAAACACACGATTATAATCTCAAGATCTCCTGTTCTAAATTAACCCTGCGTCCCAACAGATATCAAATGCTAACACTCAACCACTGTGCACAAGCGAGACTAACTAAACAGACGTGACAGACAATAACGCTATTTATATCCTGTCTATGATTGGAAAGTAGACCTTGGGAAACCCCTCCATGTCCGTTTGTAAATTAAGTCCTTGTACTTGTCTCCTAATGGATATCATTTCCGAAATCAGTCTTTTTCTATAGTGTGGTTCATCATCCAATATTCTGACGTTCTCCCAATCAAATTCATGATCCTCATGCAGCCGCGGCTCAGTTATGACGCTGCGGGTGGACGTGTTCCATCTGATATGATTTTTATGTTCCGCAATTCTTGACTTTAGTTGTCTGCACGTTTGTCCCACATAACTTGCATCGCAATTCTTACAAGAAATTTTATAAACAACTCCTGACTTCTTTTCACGCGGCAAAGGATCCTTATGCACTCTAATAAATTCATGTAATTTATTACTACTGTAATATGATACCCTCAAATGACTGCTATTCAATCTGTTGAACTTCTCAGTAATACCCCTCACGAAAAGCACTCATTATTGTGTTCTTTAAGATGAAATTGTCATCTGATTTTATTTCTCGGTTGTGGGGGAGCTCGCGGTGTTTAAACATCTTTTAACCCCTTAGCTGTCAGGCGAAAATCAACTTTTCGTGCCATTTTTGTCTTGAAAAAAAATTTTTATTGATTTATCCTATAATTTTAGTGTTATGGTTTTGGAGGTCGCTGAATCCGAATTTGAAATCGGATTTCTAAAATTCAAAATGGCGGATCCAATATGGCGGACTCAAGTTCGAAAAATGGTTCGATTTTGATGAAAGTGAGTACCTTGGGGTTTTTGAGATCGCTGAATCTGAATCTGAAATCGGATTTCCTTTTTTTTTTGTTTTTATATCCCGCACTCGGCCGAACCCGAAAAGTCGTATTTCACTACTGCGCATGCATAAGTGTTGTATTTCATTACTGCGCATGGGTCGTCTTCTTAGTAAAAACTTTAAAACTGTTAAAATGTTGAAATTAAAAAAATACAAAAAGTAAAAAAAAACGGAGTCAACAACCGCCACGTCCTCGATTCGTGACTCTGGGTTCGGCAGAGAGCGGGATATAAAAACAAAAAAAAATTATTTTACATTTTTTACGATGGACAATTTGCCATGAATGGTTTGCTAAATTTTTATTCGTCAAAATATATCCGAGTTTCAGATACTTAGGGTCGGGACTCAAATTCTAAATTCGCGATCACGAACATCTATTTTTCGAATTTGCGTCCGCCATATTGGATCCGCCATTTTGAATTTTTGAAATCCGATGTCAAAATCAGATTCAGCGACGTCCAAAACCCCAAGATACTCACTTTCGTCAAAATCGAACCATTTTTCGAATTTGCGTCCGCCATATTGGATCCGCTATTTTAAATTTTGAAAATCCAATTTCAGATTCGGATTCAGCGACCTCAAAAACCCCAAGATACTCACTTTCGTCAAAATCGAACCATTTTTAAAACTTGCGTCCGCCATATTGGATCCGCCATTTTGAATTTTGAAAATCCGATTGCAAATTTGGATTCAGCAACCTCAAAAACCATGATTGAACAAATTACAATAAAATCGATGAAGTAGAAACATGTTTTTTTTCAAATGCGCACATATGCGTCATGAGACAAAAATGGCACGACTTTTTTCTGCGCATATATGCGTCACTGACAGTCAAGGGGTTAATCATTTGTCAATTTTAAATTATATTTTATTTATGCAATTTTTCATTGTCTCTGAAGAAGGCTTAAAAATGAGCCGAAACATGTAAGAATAATTTTTGTAATAAATAAGTTTTGCTTAATAAATATCAGCGTTTGCGTAAAGTTATCTGCGCTTAACTCGTAGTGCCCTTTTTCTTTCCAAGTTGATTTTGAATTGTACGGGAGTTTTTGTTATCAAAGAATTATTATATAAATTAAAAGTATACATTTGCATCAATAACATTGCTTTTTGCTGCATCGAAAATGTCGACATTTGAGCCAAACAAGCGTCATTTGCGCGAAGTGTTAATCTTTTAAGTTAATCCTAAATGGAAGGAAACTGCAGCTGAAGCTCATCGAATGTTTGTAGAAGTTTATGGTGATAGTGCTCTTTTCGATAAAACATGCAGAAAACGGTTTCGACGCTTTCAAAGTGGTGATTTTGATGTGGAGAATAAACAGTGTTCTGGACGGTCAAAGCATTTGAAGTCGAAGAATTGCAGACGTTGGTGGAGGAAGACTTCATGTCAAATGCAAAAATTACTTACAGAAACATTAAATTGTGCTCGATCTTATTTCCGATCGTTTGAAAATCTTGGGAAAGATCTACAAGGAAAATGGATCCCATATGAACTACAGATTGAACGACGAAAAACAACCTGCAAAATTCTGCTTGCTAGGCAACAAAGAAAGGGATTTTTGCACCGAATTGTGACTGGTGATGGAAAGTGGATCTATTTCGGTAATCCCAAATACCGAAAAATCATTTGCGATCCAAGTAAACCGTAGACATCGACGCCAAAGCGGAATATCCACGGAAAGAAGGCAATGCTCTGTATTTGGTGGGATTAGAAGGGTGTAGTATATCATGAGCTGTTGAAATCTTGTCAAACAGTCACAGGATTTCTCTACCGAGAACAAATTATCCGTTTGAGCCGAGCATTGTACGAAAAACGACTATAACAGAATATGAAATGAGTATAAAGTATAAAGTGATCTTGCTTCATGACAACGCTCGACCTCACGTCACAAAAGTCATTAAGGAAACGTTAGATGCACTTCGCTAGGAAGTGCTACCCCATGCGGCTTATTCACTGTGCCCCTTCCGATTACCACTTGTTTTGGTCGATGGCACACGCACTTGCAGAGGATCACTTCAACTCTTATGAAAGCGTTGAAAAATTGGTCTCTAACTGGATAGCCTCTAAAGATGAGCCGTTCTTTCGCCGTAGGATCCGCTTATTACCAGAAAGATGGGAAAAAGTTATATCTAACGATGGCCAATACATTGATTGATGTACGTTTTCGTTTTGTTTCTTAAATAAAGTCATACTTTTTGCATAAAAAAACGGACGAAACTTTCCGACACATCTAATATGATTAAAATTAATTTTTTCAAAGTCTGAAATTTTCAAGTATTTTTACAAAATATTTATAGAATTATAAAGTAACTATATTGAGAGAAAGAGTTGTTTAACATTTGATACAGTTAATAAGTTATATGTATGTTTTTTTTGCAGTATATTTTATCGTGTTTACAATATTTTATTTGCTAATTCCATTGATACCAAGAATCTTGGATGTCGTAAAGCCGCTGAACGAGTCGCGGCCATTAGTATTCGTATTTCCGGTTGAATATAGAGTAGATAAAGAAAAGTATTATTATCCAATCTTGTTTCATTGTTACGCTACGAGTTTAACTACCATAACGATTCTGTTCACCGTCGATACTACGTATATAATGTGTGTATTGCATGCTTGCAGTTTATTTATAGTTATTAGGTAAATAAAATTAAAGTAAGAGAGAGAGAGAGAAAGATCTCATACTTACGTATATCTTTTACAAACAAGTGTTTCTAAATATTTTACTTATTTTTGGATGAATAAAAATCAAAATCACATTGGTTAAAATTATGTATTTCATTTCAAAGTCATCGTCTTGAGAACATTACTGGTGAGGCAAAAACTAAATTAGAAGACGAAAAAAATATATGTACAGGAAGGCATTATCATCTATTAACAGAGGAACACGGTTCTACTGGCAATGATTATCGTGAATTGATGATATGCTTGAAAAGACATCAACTTGCATTAGAGTTTGTACTACGTACATTTCTGTTGTCCATAATAACAATCTACTCAATAAAAAATAATAGTTTATACTCGATAACAATAACGCTTGATATTACGATATTCATCAATTATTCAATCCTTTATATATTAAATTATTTTATCCATCTTTTTTCTCTCTCTTTTTCTTTCTCTTTAAATAGACATGTCCAAATACTGAACTCTACATTCACTCAAGCGACATTCATTCTTCTATCTCTGAATATGTTGATTCTGAGTATAATCGGAATACAGGTGTGTATTTTAAGTACATATATCTTTATTGAAAAATACATTATACAATACTTAAATTATTTGCTAGCTTATCAATAACCTGGAGCATACCAACGAGATAATAAGATCTATTTTTGTAACTTGTGCTGTATTTATGCATCTCATATGCATGTGTATTCCTGGACAATTATTGATAGATCGAAGCACAGAAGTTTTTGATAAGGCGTAAGAAACCGAGTTTTGTATAGTTTTTTCATTAGATGCAAACAAGAGAAGAAAATATTTAAGATTTTTTACAATTTTCTAGAAAATTTCTCAATGTTTTCAAAATAATATCTAAAGAGATGCCGTAAGCCTATTTATCGATACTATCCAATTTTATAAGATAAAAATAAATAATTATTTTGTTAATTATAAGATTTAATTTATATAAATCATAACGTTAATTAATGTTAAAATAAACGCAAATTAATATTTAAAAAAACAATACAAAAAATTTAAGTAAATACAAAAGGCTATTAAGAGTTAACGCTGTTAGCAGTGCGTAAAAATATAATCTCAAAATCTATAACATAGATATTATGTCGAACGTTTCGATCCTTTGTTTCGGATCATCATCAGCGACAATACAATATAAAATTAAAAATTACTCAGAGTTGCAAACAATGATGTTGTCCCGCAGTATGTAATATACAACCAATCTGAGGCAAGACTTACGCACTGCTAACAGCGTTGACTCTTAATAGCCTTTTGTATTTACTTAAATTTTTTGTATTGTTTTTGAAACATATAAGAGTCTATAATTCAATTATTTTATTAATTAATATTAAATTCATAAATTTATATGTGGAAGAAATTTTTGAAACCGTGAATTTCTGAACAGCGATGCACTTATTAATTTTTTGACGTTATGTAAAAATACCACATATACAAGGTGAGGCATTTAAAACAAGTCATCTGAATAACTCGCTTGTTTTTAATAAAAGAAGGAAAAATATCAAATAAAGTTGCTTAATTTCGAGAGGCACATAATGTGATATCAATAGTTATTTTGTAAGTAGAGGTGTAAGGCTAATTCTACAATGTGTGCTTTTTGTTTCTTGTTTCTTGCTGTTTGTCTTTGTTTGTCTCTTGGCTTTTTGATCAAGAAGGCTGAAACAACCTAACTTCCGCGCGAACCAGTTCGCCGGAATTATGACAGTCGCTCGGAGAAAGGAAATGCAGATATAAATACGTAGACTAGATATAAGAGACAGAAACAAGACGACGTTTATTTTACTGTGTGTGTGTGTGTGTGTGTGTGTGTGTGTGTGTGTGTGTGTGTGTGTGCGCGCGCGCGTGTATCGCCGGTAAATCGGTGTACGTCTATCGTACGTGTATCGTAACGGCGCGTGTGTGTATATGTGTGAAGTGTGTGCGTGTAACAGAACAGAAACGCAAACAGAAAAACGGCAGTGTCGATTATGGCGCGAGTACAATAATAAGACGTGCGGGATCTTTAAATCCCACGGACGCGGGATTCGCGGAACGTGGTCGGCGGTATTATGTCGCGGATAGTTCGCATACACGGGTATACGCCAGCGACGGATATCATAACGCGAATAATCAGCAGGCGTTTCCTCGATGAAATGAGGAACGCTATGTGGTATTGATAACGGAGCGGATGCACTGGCGGCCTTCTTCTTCTTCTTGGTTAATGGCTCCAACCTCCACAAGCGGAGGCAATACGGCCAGATCACGTCAAATTGTCTTTCGTCTAATAGGTACAATAGCGGGTGATGCAATGCCTGCGAAAATGGCGTTGCTCGATAGGACACCGGGCGCCTGCGTCTACGGCGTCGTCACACCGCAATAACGCGCGTCAGGAATCCTGTCGTCAAAGAGACGAACAACCGAGACGAGCCCATCCGCGGGCACTCATCATTGAGGTTCAATGCTCGGTCAAAGTCGGCAACACTTTCAAAAATATACGATTAAGAGCACCCGAGCCGAAACGCGTCCGCCGCGGTCGGGTGGTTCTTCGGAACTCGCACTGGCGGCCGACTACCGAGAACGCTCGGCGGAGACAGAGAATGCTCTACCCCCTTTTCTCGTCGAGTCACTGGATAAGACTCTGAAGTGCAGTATTCGGTCTGAGCAAGGAACTGGACGGAATGAACGATCGTAGCAACAATTGCGTATTTTATACTAGTTGTTGCTCCTGCTCGTTTTATTCCGTTTCAGTTCGGTCGCGTTCGGCGGTCGGCGATCATTACGGAGGAAATCGTCGATCGACGATCTTCGGTTGTGTTCGGTGGGAGCGGCAGTTATCGCGAAATGTTCGATCGGCGATCTTCGGTCGCTTTCGGTCGGATCGGCGATTGCTACTGTCGGCGGCGGTTATTCTTAAATTGCGAAATATCTAATGCTCTTAACGGCTTGTATCTGGTCGGAATGCACAGCGGGGGCGCATCGTTACAAGGCATGAGACAAACAGCAAGAAACAGGAAACAAAAAGCTCATTGTAGAATTAGCCTAAAGGATATGCAAAGGTCAAATCTGTTTTTAAATAAAGTGGTATGCTTCTTTATTTAAATTCTGATAAATCATGTTAAGACGAATACAATGACCTATAATTGAAGGTCTTTCAAGGTTACGCAATGCCAATAATGGAAAGTAATTGGAAAAATAAATTGTTTTAATGCAATCTTCGATAATATACGTACATAATTTCGTGTCTTCTGTGCTTGTAAGTTTACCGCTAATCGTTCTAGTGTATCACGGTATATAAATAAACATGGAATCGCACATAGCAATATCCATATTTACTGATCTGTTTGAATTTATCTATTGATCGAAGTGCGTATCTTGCGAAATATATAGATCACTATAAATAAAAATTATATCAACTTTTTCTGCTTTGATATAACGCATTTCGTAAAACATACACTTTAATCGTGATATACTTGAACGATTAGCGTTATACTAACAAAGAGAGAAGACACAAAGTTATTCAAAGAGTGCATTGAAACAATTTATTTTCCATTCAATTATTTTCCATTATTGACCTTGTATAACCTTCAATGACCTTCAATTATAGATCAATGTATTCGTCTTAAAATGCTCTATCTCAGAATTTAAAATTAAAAACGTATCATTCCATTTAAAAAATAGATTTGGCCTTTGCCTATCCTTTACGCCTCCACATACAAAACATTGTATATGTATTATTATTATAAATGATTTTCATTTACACGTTCATTACCGATAAAAGAATTAATCAATTCAATTTATATTAGGTACAGTTCAGCATGGTATACATTTTCTATAAAAACTAGAAGATTATTAAGAATACTTCTTTATAGAAGTCTTTCTCCATCTACACTAACGGCTGGAAAGATGTTTGTTTTGTCTATGACTATGTGTAGTTTGGTACGTCTCACTCACATACATATAGAAAGATTATTCTTTACAGTTCTATACAACATTATAACAGATTGATATTCAATTTTAAGGTGATGCAAACTGCTATGTCATATTTCACGACCTTTTTATCCATAAGATAGAGATGTTATTTCAAATTGTATTATGTGTATCTTCACAAAATTATTATACTCAAAAAAGTTATTGTCTCATCATCAGTTATTATATTTTATAAAAGAAGATGATTATAATCACCATAATAAAGCGACGTATATCACATTAGAAATTATATGAATATATGTATATATATTATTTCCAATGTCTTGCGTAAAAGAAGGTATATGACATTTTTTACTAATAAAACTTATAAAAAATTTTTTAATTATATAAATCAGAGACGCAGTAATGCCTCCGGCCATGTTCAAAAACTGAAAGACATTACAATCAGGAGACGCGGTAGCGTCTCCGGCCATGTTCAAAAACTGAGAGACGCTACAAGTCTCTTATCCCGAGCCATTAGAGTCCATTTTTGGGAGGTGCATAACTACTAAAATATAAAAAATTTTGAATCAAACGTTATATAACCTGAAAGGCGTCATCACCACGAGAAATTTGAGCCAAATAAATTTTAAATCGGTCAACCCGTTCTGGAGATATAAGCGGTCGAAAAGTGATGATTTTAATGAAAAATTAAAAAACGTCTCCTTCTCCTTCTTCTTCTTCTTCTTCTCACTCCGCATTCAAAATTTTTCAAACCGCCATTTAACCTTTTCAACATCCTCTCTCACCTTTCACTCGCACCTCCACCATCTTTCGCCCACCGAACTTTCTGCACTACTCACTCCCCCTCCCCCCACTACTCACTGCCGCCACCCCTCTCTTTCGCCGTACTTCACTATCTTTCGTTATTACAACTTTTTAACATCCTCTCTCACCTTTCACTCGCACGTCCACCATTTTCGACCCGCCGGACCTTCTCCTCCCGCCCCTCCCCTACCAAATACCCTCGCCGGCCCTTTCTTTCGTCGTAATTCACAAATGTGAATTATTACGGAATATGAAGACACGGAAAAATTTCCGTTATTACAACTTTTTATTATTCTCTCTCACCTTTCACTCGCACCTCCACCATCTTCGACCTACCGGACCTTAAAATATTAATTATAATAAAAACTCAATTGCAGACTGGTACGACGAATATTTAAAAAGAAAAATTTTGAAAAGTTATCTTATTTAATTGTAAAAAACTTTATTTAAAAAAATTTGTTTTAAAGGAAGGTAATAAAGAAAATTGATGCGTTAATATTAGACGGTTAGTGAAAACAATCTTGGGGATTGTTTTGATGTGGAAGGGCGGATGCGCGCGAGTTTCATATCACCCCCTCACCCGGATCACCGATAAACCGAGCAGTCATCATTTAAATACATATTAAATGAAATTATTGTTTTAAATACTCCCGACTGCTGACCAATATGACGTATATTTAAAACCATCGCAGTATTGTCACGAGTTAAATTGTATTATATTACCACGAAAAGTAACTTGAAAGGATGCCCCCCTAAAAAAGCATCGTTCCTATGGTGCCATCGAAAAAGGGGCAATGCGCCTGTAGAGATATTAAATAATAATCTCAAAAGACTGATGAGTTTCTCGTTGTTCACTTAGAAGTAATGTCCGCTTGTACGGAGTAATTTTTTCGACACTTGAAGTACGAAAAGTATTACTTATAAATAATGAATAATAAGATTAGATTAGAATAAAATAAAGATCCACCGCATTTTCAAAAGCTACATAACGATAATGATGTGAACACATTATGTTGAAATGCCTTTTTCTTATGTACAGAGTAATTATTATTACGACATTTGAAGTGCGAAAGGTATTACATTTAAATAGTAAGATTAGATTAGAATAAATTAAGGACCCACCGTATTTCCAGAAGTTCCATAACAATAACGATATGAACACACAAAATTATGTTGTAATGCCTTTTACTTATCTCATTCTCAACAATACCAATCGAGGATTGCCGTCATTAATGCAAATATTGAAATCAATCTTCCAAACACTATTACATTTTGTACTTGCACCGTAAGAATGATGTCACTATCTTTTCAGAGTTAATAGATAAATTTCTTATCCATACTATAACACAACTAATTCAAAACCGGAAGTTCAAACAAAAATTAGAAATTCGACCAAAGAAAGATTAAATTCTTTTAATCTAAAATATTTTCATAACTTCTATTTTAATCATTTATTCTATCCATCGAAAATCTTTCGAGAGCAGGCCGCCATGTTCTTTTTCCGAGTCATTAACAGATTGGTACTCTGGAATTACAAGCTTTTATTTTTCATTGCACGGGCTAGTATAAATTAAATAAATTTCAAATCAAATCTCAATAACCGACTTTTATATTTTGTGCACTAAGAATAACATATTGCAACAATTTTTTAGAAAACTGTAATATGCAAATTGTAATCTGTTTTACTTATATGTATGTATGTT